TGCGCCGTCACCACAGCCACTGATATTGGCATTCTGTGTCAGTATGGCTGTAACTACCACAAGGCAGGCCGATTAAACGGTGGAAGACTGTTGCCTCCAAATTTGGGAAAATCCATAGGACACAGGAGCATGATGGATTCGCGGGGGACGACAAATTGCGGGACGTACAGGGACTGTCGAACTCTCAGCCTGGCGTATCGACCATCCTTTCTTGATCCCTGGCTGGTTATAACAACATATCCTCGACCTATAACTAGTTAGTGGTTACAGCATGCGGAAGGCGGCTTGATTTGCCAAAAATGCCGAAGCGACGGACAACCTTTGGTCTACCGCCTGAAGCTTCGCCTCTAAATGAGAGACTCGTACGGACCGCATGATGTCCTTCGAGCGCTATTGCTAGCCAACAATCATGCCAGACATGTTTGACTGGAGAGCCCATACGCAGTCCTGAACTCGCCATGTAGCGAAGCCGGTGCTCTCACCATAACTAGCTAACCAGTCAACTTGTCTCCGGCGAGTCAAGCCGATCACACAAGATCGGGCACACCCGAGCATGGGAACCAGGCGTTGCTGCTTGCCGCTGAGTCGTGCGAATGGCGTCGCCAGGGTTTTGGGAGCACAGCATACGGTTGTAGCAAGCGGATATTTCATATGCCACCCCCCTCATCCCTGCACTTTTGGTCAGGTTTCCTGGATCCTTAGCCACGGAGTATTCACATACTCCGTACGGCATGCTTAGCCTCTCCAGCTCAACAGCTCTTGGTCAGTCTTTGGTAGGGACTGGGCCTCTGTGACTCCTCGATTGCCTGAATTTTGATCCCTTGGCCCCTTTTCCTATCAGTCAAACGACAAATGTCAGCCGAGATATTGTGATACAGAGATGGGTTGCACCGAAGGAGCCAACCCGGCGCTGAAAGGAGCGTGCCTTACTTGGCATGTGGATGTCCTTTTCTTATCATGCACCCCGTAACTAACTAACTAGTTACTCCGCACAGGAAGATATCCTTTTCTTCATGCCGGCATGGAGTCCGGGGTCGAGAGAACTCAGCTCGCTGCATTGCAATATAACTGGCTGGCCGGCCGGATGATGGATGGATGCTGCTGTCCCGGAACCGCCAAATCACCCAAACCCCCAAGGTCGATATCAAACAAATGACAGCGAAGTGAACCAGCCGTCCCCCCCCCCCCCCCCCCCTGGTCGGGTCGCATTTCTTGACTTCGGATTCTCATCCATTTCCGCCCTTTCTAACCACTTTCATCCCGGCTTGAGTAGTAGTCGCTGGCCTTGTCACGCTTAAACCCCGGGGGTGGCGAAAGGGCAAACGAGCGCTCGAGCAAGGCAAATACAGCGCTACGCTGGCTGACAGGCGGCCCGCTAGTTATCTCGCGATCTTCGCACCAACCGTCTAGTTAGCCGACGTTGAAGAACTGGCGTTCTCTCCATTCTTATTTTCAGATATCGTCTGGTGTTGGGTTAAGCCTTGATCAGCAGCAAACCGATCATCATTGGGCCGTGCGTGTTGACCTGTTTCCTGGATCAAAAAGGGACGGATCGCAGTGTCGATTACTGGCAGGCAGCTGGGAATAGGGGCGTTTACTAAGCTACAACTGCTGCGAAATACTGGGGATTGACGTGCAGATCTGGGGGTGATCGTCGATGCCACAGTAAATGGATTTATGATATCACTGCCCAAGGCCAGGGGGTCGGATAATGTCATTCATCCCCAGGGCGAGAGTGAAAATTCTCAAGCCTTCCCACCCTCCACCTTGGCTAAAGAAGGGAAGCTAGCATGTGTTTATGCTATATATGGTACTCTCGTCTTGCCTGAAAGTTTATAGAGGCCTCTTTCTTGTGCCTTTCTGCATTCCCCGCGATTGATCGCCAATATCTAACGCCATTTGATATATTGGCTGTATACCCACCGCACTCTTGGCTGCTATCAGGTAATCTATCACGAACATCTGCTTCGTATCGATAACTAGTGGGAGTGGAGAGCACGCATTTTCTTTTGGCGCCCTGATCTTTCTCTCGCTAGCCTTTGGACATCCCGGGTGAAGAACCGAACCCCGGCTTTGATATTCCTACGCCGGCGATAAAGCATGGAGCCAGATGGGAAACAGGGGCAGTGTTGCTCATTATACAAACACCGTCTAGTCATGAAGATCTGCCGCTCACTCTAATAGCTGTTATCATGCGTTTTGCTATGATCAACGCCAAAGATCGTCAAAAGGACCATTGTACTGGACAAGTTGGTCAGAGCTTTTTATATTGGTCAACAGATCTCGGCTTGGACGGACCGTAGAATATTCGCGAATACCAGCTTCTCTCAGCCCATACTCCTACAGGGGTATGGGCATCACAAGATGGGTTCACGCTCCTCAGACCCCTGAGACCTGCGGTGTTACCGCGGCCATCCGTTTGAATCAGGCTTGCAGCATGACGATCTCAACCTTGGGACTGCCAGAGAGTAGGTGGTGGCTGACCGATATCTGCTTGCTCGATGTATGTCTCCCCGGAATAGCAATAGACACTCCCGTTCCTGGGCAGACTAGGCCTCTCCGCATCTTGCCGATGATATTTTTATACCATCACTTTTGTTATTCGCCAGAGATACATGCCTGGTATTCAACTCGCCGGCGATATTACATGGTTGCATACCTTAGGAGAAAAAAGCATGTCTGGGAGCCCGAGGCGTGCGGAGCATTGTCCCGCACACCCTCTCATGAATCAAGGGCTGGAAAGATGACCAGGTCTCCCTAGGGTAGCCGGGGTGAAGTGAAGGGGGCAGGGGGAATGTCTTTGGACGGGTATAAAAGCTGGTCATCAATCCCATCAACTCGAGCATGTCTAGACTGCAATTCATCAACATTTCAATCGACCAAATCTAGCAACTCCTCACAATGGGCTGCATCAAGGTTATCTCCGTCTTCCTCGCGGCCATCGCTGCCGTCGATGCCCGCGCTTTCTTCCACAACCGTGGCGGCAACGATGTCATCCCCAACTCCTACATCGTTGTCATGAAGGACGGTGTTACTGCTGAGGATTTTGACTCCCATATCTCCTCTGTTGCTGCCACCCACAGCCTCAACAAGGCTAAGCGTGGCTCCGAGACCGTCGGACACAAGGACTCCTTCAACATCAACGGATGGAGAGCCTATAACGGCCACTTCGACGAGGCCACCATCGAATCTATCCTCAAAGATGACAAGGTTAGCCCTGAAGCCCTCTGAAGCCCATTTATACCCTTATTTCTGCTTTTCTTCGGGTTCATTCTGACAGATAAGTCTAGGTCAACTATGTAGAGCATGACCGCGTTGTCAAGCTGGCTGCTCTCACCACCCAGCCAAACGCTCCCACTTGGGGTTTGGGCAGAGTCTCCCACAAGGCTCCTGGAAACAAAGACTTTGTCTATGACAGCTCTGCTGGCCAAGGCATCACCATCTATGGCGTTGACACCGGTATTGATATCCGCCACCCCGAATTCGCTGGCCGTATCCGCTGGGGAACCAACACCGTCGACAACGACAACACTGATGGCAACGGCCACGGAACCCACACAGCTGGTACCTTCGCTGGCACTACATACGGAGTTGCTAAGAAGGCCAACATTGTCGCCGTCAAAGTCCTTTCCGCTGGAGGCTCCGGCTCTACCTCTGGTGTGATAAAGGGTATTGACTGGTGTGTTACCGACGCCCGATCCAAGAACGCTCTCGGAAAAGCCGCCCTCAACCTTAGCTTGGGTGGCTCTTTCAGCCAGGCTAGCAACGATGCTGTCACCCGCGCCCAGGAAGCTGGTATCTTCGTGGCTGTCGCCGCTGGAAACGACAACGTAAGTTCTTACTGGTCTTTCACCTCACTCCCTGCCCGACGATACTAATCACACTTTGAATAATATAGAGGGATGCCAAGAATTCTTCCCCGGCCTCTGCTCCAGCTGTCTGCACCGCCGCCTCCTCCACCATTGATGACCAGAAGTCCTCTTTCTCCAACTGGGGTACCATTGGTAAGTTATTATTCGATCCTCAGCGCCTACCTTACCCCTCACCTCTCTCACGTTCCGTGACTAACACATTTGAATAGTTGACATTTATGCCCCCGGCTCCAACATCCTCTCTGCTGCCCCAGGCGGTGGTACCCGTACCCTGTCCGGAACCTCCATGGCCTCTCCCCACGTTTGTGGTGTTGGTGCTGCCATGCTTGCCCAGGGTGTTAGCGTTGCTCAGGCCTGCGACCGCTTGAAGCAGATTGGTAACGCCGTTATCCGCAACCCAGGAACTGGCACCACCAACCGTCTCCTCTACAACGGAAGTGGACGATAAAGGACTAATCCCCTAAATGCATCTTTCCCTAGCTTTATGCTAGTGATATAGGGTGCTGCTGCTTAATTTTGATCAATATGACGCTTGCCGTGGCCGGAATGTTGATTGATGTACATACTTCCCAACCAGTTACATGCACATAGTTTTGCTTCATCTTGGACATGTTGAATGTGCCGAGACTACCTTCGTTACATGCTTCTGCAACGCTGGAGCCAATGAAGACCCAATCTTATTCAGCTTGCTTCTTGATTTATCGGGGCCTTGAAGGAAAAGCATCTGTAGACAGATGGTGGTGGATAGTTCCATTTTAAACGTCGGACTTGGATAAAATAAAGTTGAAATAGTGCTCGCTGACTAATAGATTGATAACAAAGTTCTAAGCACGTGGCAGTCACTTAATTTCTTGGCGTATATGCGGCGTGGATCCGGATGGATTAGGGAAGCCGCGAGAAGTAACCGGGATTACGTAACATGAAGATCAATCAGGAGAAGCGGAAGATCCACAACGAGGCGATGTGTAAATATATAGGGAACACTTTTCAGGAGGGCAGTGAAGGGAAAATAATATATCCTAAGCCTACGCCGACATTCAATTATTCTTCTTGCCAAGTGCTCAAGCTCGATTGCAGTTTGATGGCTGCATACTAGTTACGTATTCCGATTAACTGGAACGAGTCACTATGAACAAGACTTCTCGGACGGATGAGCCATATGAAGGAGATGGCTACAACCAAAATCCGAATCCTCTTTCGAACGATTTGGTCACCAATGAAGCCCTGAATGGCATTGTCAACTCGAGGGAGCTGAAGAGGGAGGAACCGCAGTCCTTGCATGGAGAAACGCAGAATGTTGATCGTGATAAGAATGCCAATACTCATCCTGCTACGGGATCGGGCGAGGCGTCGAACTCGCTGGCCAGTCCACTGACTGGTCAGCTTCCAAGAGGAGATAACAAACTTCCTCTGTCACAAATAGCTACTGTTACACCCGATAACGAAGCTGCTGGCCCCTCTGGCCCAGAGAATAGCCGTGATTCCCTAATTGAGCGAGTTAAGAAAGTTTTGCTCAAATTTTGCACTTTTATTGGCCCGGGATTTATGGTATCTGTGGCGTACAGTATGGGACATTCTTCATTCTCATTTTAAGAGCGTCTATGTCAGTGCTAATATCATTCCTTCTAGTTGACCCTGGTAATTATTCAACTGGGATTGCTGCTGGAGCATCGTATCGGTTTCGGTTGTTGTTTGTCATTCTCATGGCGAACCTATTCGCCATTTTGCTCCAGTCCCTTGCTATTAAGCTTGGAACTGTAAGTGGATTAAATTTAGCAGAGGCATGCAGAGCCTTTCTCCCACGGTGGCTCAACATCCTGCTATATGTTCTTGCCGAAGTGGCCATTATTGCCACTGATATTGCTGAAGTATGTAGAGTCCTCGTACTAATCACCCTATGACCGACCAGCTTGCTGACTTGAAATAAAATAGGTAATTGGATTTGCGATCGGCTTGAATCTCCTTATCCCAAAGATACCGCTGATTGTCGGATGCGCAATCTCAATCTTCGACGTCATGATTATTCTGTTTTTCTATCGTCCAGATGGTTCCATGAAGGCTCTGCGTGCCTTTGAGGCTGTGATCATGTGTTTGGTGCTAGGCGTAGTCATTTGTTTTTGCATCCAGCTTTCACTCATCAAGAACGCTACTGTAGGAGAAGTCTTTAGGGGATATTTGCCGTCCGGACAGCTCGTTGAGGGACAAGCGTATGACCCCACCCATTTACCCATGAAACATTGCTAACCGGATGATAGCATCTACCAAGCATGTGGTATTCTCGGAGCAACAGTCATGCCGCACAGCCTCTACCTAGGGTCAGGAATAGTTCAGCCACGTCTGCGAGAGTATGATGCAAAAAGCAAACTCTTGCCGCCAGAACTACTGTCGGCATCTTCTTCCGTCAACGAAGGAGTCGACAAGGATAAATTGCACTACATTCCGTCCATCCGCGCGATCAGACACTCGCTGAAAATCTCCATTGCCGAACTGACGGTCTCCTTGTTTTCCTTCGCCCTCTTTGTCAATTCAGCAATTCTTATTGTTGCAGGTGCATCCTTATACAAAAATAAGGATGCTCTAGAGGCAGACATATTTGGGATCCACGCGCTTTTGTCAAAATCCATTTCTCCTGCAGTGGGTACAATTTTTGCTCTGGCATTGCTGCTTTCTGGAATCTCTGCCGGAGTTATTTGTACCATTGCTGGCCAAATGGTGAGCGAGGGCGCCTTGAATTGGAAGCTTCGGCCCTGGCTACGACGTTTGGTAACTCGAAGTATCAGTATCGTCCCAAGCATCATAATCGCAGCAGCTGTGGGGCGTCAGGGACTGAACGCAACATTGAACGCATCCCAAGTAGTATTGAGTATTGTACTGCCATTTATTACGGCACCCCTGATCTACTTTACTTGTCTCAACAAGTATATGACAGTCCAGCCCGGGAGTGCACGTTGTCTTGCACCCAATGAAGGCATATTCCGGAACAACCGTCAGGTCGTTGGGGCTGCACACCAGGGTGAAAGCATTATTAAAATGGCAAACTCATGGTACATCGCTGTCGTCGCTGGGCTGGTGTGGCTTTTTATTACCGTGATGAACGTCGCTAATCTGGTGCTCCTTGGGCAGGGGGCATGATTTCTCCTTTGAATGTGTGCTGTTGCATCCATGGCTTTGGGTTTTTTTGAGCCAATATGCAAGGGCATCGTGTCCTATATTCCAAATACCACAGGAGCGTTCAGTATAATTGTGTATTGATTCTCTAGAAGTTAAAGTTAGAGCCATCCGTAAAATATAACATACCAAAGGACTCATTTTGCCGCGCTTCTACAGCTCTAATACAGCTGGCATAAATCCTCTTACTCCATTACTCAGCCATACCTCTTCCCCGGACTTTAGTGTGTCAACCCGGATGACACCCTCGGAGCAGATGCCGGTATCCAGAGCATAACGCCGAGTTGTTGCTGAGTTTCCGCCACAAGATAGTAGAGGTGTGATCCATTCATCAACAACGGTGGCTGAGTCGTATGTTTCATCAACTACTCTTTTTCTAAAGTAAACGGTGGTGATGCTGCCTTCCATGGCTTCACCATTAAGGTTGTACATTAAAACTTCAATTGGGGCGGCCACAGATGGTAGGTTGGCCCTCATCCGGGCGGCATCATACACGTCTCTAACAGTGGTCTTGTGCTTGGTGAATAGAGATGGTTCAGTGGGCTGCGTATCCAGCCGTAGTTTCCAGTGGATAACATCCTTATTATGCGTACACAAGGATGAGAACGAAGGCTGAGGCGGAAGAAAGAAGATATGAGAGCTTAAAGGCGAGAGAATAGGTGAAGCCTCCACAGTCAGCTCGCCCTTACGATCTAACAGTATGCGCAAACGCCAAGGCCGAGATTTGTCTGGTAAGTGGGCATTGAGAGTCTCAGCAAATTTCTCGGCGGATGCAGCCTGTTGCATTCGTGAAATAGCCGCCTCCCAGTGGAAGTCAGACACAGCATCCAGGAGCCGTCCACGGTGGTATGTAAGGAGGTAGAAGGGCGCTAAATGCAATTCCAGGTGGCCGACCGGGTTGTTTATCTCATTCACAAGCTCTGGATCGTAGCGTAAGGTGGATATAACGCGGAAATCAGAGTTGGCATCAGCCATGATGTCCCCTCTGGCAGCCTCACGGGCGTTTATAGGTATCTACTCGTGATTTGGAGGCCAAGATTCAGATCACGCCGCTGATATCCATCATTTTCTCTAGCCACAGATGCCCTTCACAACCGTAAGCTGTAGCAAATGCCTCGGCGACCCAGTTGGTTATGGTATATGTTGTCGGTGGTTGTCGTTGATGTGCAAAATACAAGTTGAAGTTGAGCTTCTTCTAGTTATACGAGATTACATAAGCAACCCAGAAATTTTCTACTTCCCAAAGAGCTTGCACGATGTTTTCTCTCGCAAGCACTTCATCTTCGCTTCTTCTCAAGCCCCGTTCCGATAGATCTTACGCAGCCCTTTTCCGCATTTCTAATTCGTTTCCCATCGGAGGGTTTTCTTATTTTCTCTTTTAATTCCTGTTCTTTCTTGTCTCCAGCTCCAAAATTCACCCGGGGGGAGGGACTCCAAACCAGTTCAACTTCCACAACTTTATTATACAAAGAACTACCAGCTCACGCTTCTGGCCAGTCTCGCTACCAGCGGTTTATTGAGGCATCCTGATCGAGTGGATAGCGCTTGTTTTATAGATTTGACACTGGTGCCGGTCGCTGTTTACCCAGTGAATTAGACACCTTCATCGCAGCCATGGCACCCATCCAACCCGTCGTCCCATCGCTGCCATCATCCACTATTCAGCAGCACATCGAGAATACCGCTGCTTCATCGTCACCTTCGGTTTGGGATCGTATTTCATCATGGGCCTCAGAAAACAAGGCTCTAGTCTACACAATCGCTGGTGTTGCGGTTGTCGTGACAAGCGCTGGTGTGGTTTACTATTTGTCTGACACCGGTAGACCAACCCAGGTTTCTGGTCAATCGGGAGAGAAGCGCAAGAGCAAAAAAGAACGGCGAAAGGAAAAGAAGGCGGAGCAGGAAAAGAAAGCCGCCACGTCGGAGAAATCTGGTATGGCGGTTTAATCGGTCGCCCATTGCTGTTGAATTTGTTAACCTGAGAAATATATAGAACCCAAAGCGGCAACGGAGCAGGCACCAGAAGAACTCCCAGACGTTGATGAGTCCAACGTAGACAGCCTACCTGCTCAGGTACGTTTAAATCAATGGCGAACTCTATAACCTAGATGCTAAAGGCTTTATCTTTCATATAGACGAGAGAACGCTATGCTGGGATCCTTAAAGCTGCCGGAAACAAAGCGTTTGGTTCAAAGGACTACAACCGAGCAATCGAGCTCTATGGCAAGGCAATTCTCTGCAAACCTGATCCTGTCTACTATTCTAATCGCGCCGCCTGTTATAACGCCCTCGGTGAATGGGAGAAGGTGGTAGAGGATACTACCGCGGCCTTGGCCATGGATGATGAGTATATCAAGGCAATGAACAGACGGGCAAACGCATATGATAAGCTTGGAAAATACAGCGAGGCCCTACTTGATTACACTGCCAGCTGTATTCTTGATGGATTCGCCAGTGACACTGGCAAAGCTGCGGTGGAGAGGCTACTGAAACAGGTAGCCGAAGAGAAGGGCCGCGCTATCCTCGAAGGCAAGGGAAAGAAGTTGCCCAGTGCTACTTTTGTCTCAAACTACCTCCAGAGCTTCCGACCAAAGCCGGTTCCGGAAGAGCTTGACGAATCTGTTGAGTTGAAGGAAGACAGTGGTCTAGGCCAGCTCCGAAAGGGATTATTGGCAGTTGCCAAGTCAACTGGAGATGGATACGATGAGGCCGCACGAGCATTTGAAAAGGCCTTGGAGTTAGGTGAACTCGGCAAGCTTGAAGCTTTAGCCCTAAATATGCGCGCAACCTTCACCTACCTAGCTGGCGAAGCAGCCGCAGCACTTACCGACCTAAACAAGAGCATTGAACTTGATCCATCGCTTGTGCAGAGTTACATCAAACGTGCTAGCTTATACCTCGAGATGGGTATGTCTGACCGCATTTTATTAGCATATCGTGCCACATACTGACGCTTGAATTCCGTTTGATAGGCAACAGGGAATCAGCACAGGACGATTTCGACCTGGCTGTGACCCAGAACAAGGATGACCCAGATATTTATTACCATCGAGCACAACTTCATTTCATCCTTGGCGAGCTTGGGGAGGCTGCCAAGGATTACCAAAAATCAATTGACCTTGACCGGGACTTCATTTACTCACATATTCAATTGGGTGTTACTCAGTACAAGCTAGGCTCTGTTGCATCAGCAATGGCTACATTCAAGCGGACCCTCAAGAACTTCGAGAATGTGGCTGAGGTTTACAATTACTATGGCGAGCTTCTGCTTGATATGCAGAAATTCTCCGAAGCCATTGAGAAATTTGACCGTGCCGTTGAACTAGAGAAATCTAACAAACCCTGGAGCATCAACGTTCTGCCCCTAATTAATAAGGCTCTTGCTATCTTCCAGTGGAAGCAGGATTTCCAAGAAGCTGAAAACCTCTGCCAGAAGGCTCTTATTAGTAAGACTCACACGATGCTCCTTTTCGATTTTCTTTGGCGCCTACTAACCGAGTCTTTCTAGTTGATCCTGATTGCGATATTGCGATTGCTACCCTAGCTCAACTTCTTCTCCAGCAAGGAAAAGTTTCTCAAGCCTTGAAGTATTTCGAGCGCGCTGCCGAATTAGCACGAACAGAGGCAGAGGTGATAAATGCCGTCTCATACGCCGAAGCCACTCGCGCCCAGCTCGAGGTGCAGGAGAAGTACCCTAAGCTTGCCGCCAGACTAGCGCAGATGGGCGGTGCAGCGGGACTCGGTGCTCCTGGTGGTTTCTAAACTCGAACACAACAACCAACCAACAATACTGCCCATAAAAGAGAGAGAGAGAGAGAGAGAGAGAGAGAGAGAGAGAGATGAGTGGCAGAGGAGGGATTATATCCACGTGGCTGACTTCCTGGAACCGTGTACGCTTTCTTATCCTGCTTCTGTTTTACTACACCTTTTGTCCCCCATTGTCTTCCTGTACTGTAAATAAGTAGTGGCCACTTGCTTTCCTTTTTTCCCCCATTTTTGCGGCTACAGTTGATGAAGGTGGGCGCTTTGCCGTTCTATGTTCTTCTCCTGCGCGTAATGTATACTATCATGGTCTCATATTATCTTGGTTTCTCCAGTTTGTCTTGTTATCGCCATCCAACGACCACTTATGTATGTATTATGACGCGAACTAACGGACTAACGGGGCTGGCGACTTAAAGTTTAACTAGCCGAAGTACCCTGTCTCGTGTTCTTGGTGGAGAGATACTTGGCGCTTAACCGGCTCGCTCGTTGGCTGAGCCCCACCCTTAGCCGGCAGACGCCGTAACTGCCGCTCCCTCCAACGTCTTGCACCTCGATGCCTGGCTTTTCCTCTTCCTGCTCTTCTTCTGCAGTGACATGGTCTCCCTCACAGTCCATAATACTATCATCTACACGCTTGTTCTCTCCTCTGTATAGGGCTGGGTAACTAACCCCGATCGAGTGCCTCGCTAGTTATTTTTAATACATCTTACTAAACCCGCGCCTGTTACGTCACCGGCCCGGTGTGTGTTGTATCCGCTGCACCCCGCAGCAGCCACAACAATATTTCTCACTATACCACAAGAAAGAGAGGGAAGAAGGGATCGCTCACCACGCTCAACTTCAAAGTGATTTCCAACTGCTCATATCCGCATCGCGTGCCTATGGCTACAGGTAGATTAATCCCGTGTCGTCTTCGCCCTATTACTCGAGGGATGGCAACATGCTAGGATTACAAGTCAGGAGCTAACGTGAAAATTCTCTTCCGTAGTAACCCTACACGCCGTTACCCTTGATGGAGGTGACGATATAGGGGAACGGGATGTCTATTTCTCGTCTACTATGTATCGTTGCATCATCGGCCGCTCATCGCAGTCCGGGAAGAGCCTGTTAAAGGCTAGCAAGGATAATCTTCGATTCGATAATCGTGTTGTCTCTCGCAACCATGCTGAATTATTTGTGGATGTTATAAAGAAGGTAAC